CACCCCTGAGGAGCCCCCAGATGGGCCCAAGTGACCCTCTGGGATCAGCAGAGAACCCAATGCTGGCCCGAAACACAGCTCAGAGCGCTCACTGAGGGTGCTCTGTCCCCACAGAGTATTTTGGGGACTGATGGATGAGCAGCTGCATCTGGCACAGCCCTGGAGAGAGGTGCCAGGTCACTCGGAGCCAGAGGAGAGGTGACCTCTGTGCCTGGCTGCTCACAGAGCAGGAGGGGCAGCCCTGAGGCCACTGGCAGGGCCAGCCCAGCTGGATGGTGCAGCTGCCCTTGGCCAGTCCCCAGCACAGAGCATCCCTGCACAGCCTGCACAGCCCACCCCAGCACCAGCAGCTGGGGTATTTTTAGCCTGGAAAAGTGCCACAAAATCATAGAGCAACATTTGCTGGAGTTGGAACCAGCGTCTCAGTTCACCTTGCAATCCTCTCTGGGTCACCCTGCCCTGCCTAGTGAGGCTCTGGTTCCTGCTGGCACTGCCACACAAACACTGAGCCCCACTGGAGTCCCCAGGGCCCCCTGTGCCCTCCTCCTGCACCACGGTGCCACCTTCCTTCAGGAGAAGCCCCAAACATCCCCACAGCCTGTCACCTTCCAGGCCACAGAGAAGATAATAGTAGAAATAGCAGAAATAGCAGAAATAGCAGAAATAGTAGAAATAGCAGAAATAGTAGAAATAGCAGAAATAGGAGAAATAGTAGAATCCACCCCACTTGCCAACTTCGAATGCCAATCCTCTCTAATATCATCCTAATCATTAAGAAGCTGTGAACCAGCATTAGCCTTTTAAGCTAAAGAAAGAGGGTTTCCCCCTCCTTAATGGTAGGCTTCAACTAAACCCTAGCCCCTGATATTTTATCATGCTCACTTCATGACTCTCTTTAATTATCGAACCCAAATTCCTGTCATTCGTATCAATAAATCCCCTCCTAGCAAACCACCCATCACTCCGAGCACCACCCCCTGAACCTGACCATGAACTTAAGCTTCTTTTACCAATTTCCAAGCCCATCTCTCCTAGGAATCCCACATCCTGCCCTGTCCCTGTGGTGGCTACACCAGAGCCCAGAGCCTGTTCTCCCTGCTGAGGAGTAGGGGCATGGTTGGGCTCTGGTGCCTGTGGGGCTCAATCCATCCACCAAAACACCTCTACAGCTGCTCATCCCTTCACTGTTTATTGCAATGAGATGATTTTTGTTCCTGCAGGGAAAGGAAAGCACCCACAGCCTGTTAGACAGCTTCTCCAGGGAAAGGCAGGAGCAGCAGGACACTGGAAAAGCGGTGACAGCACAGGACAGCACAGTGCCCACCCTGGGCTCACTCTGGGCAGCCATGGGGAGCTGCAGGCTGGCAGCACTGCACAGCCACCCACCAGGGTGTGTTGTCTCCAGCATTAATTTCACACCCCATTAAATGCCTCCAAATGTTTGCTTTGGGGGAGTGCGCCTCCATGTCCCCCAGGGTGGAGGGGATGTTCTCTCCCCCTGTGCAGCACATGGGTTTTCCTGTTTGTTTTGCTGCTTTCCTTAGAAACAGTGCTGAGACTGTGCCTGCTCTCCCTTAATTTCACTTGTCAGAGGATTAAAAGAGGGAAAGGAGAGCTGACATGGCCCTAAACTGAAGGCAACAGAGAGCCTGAATCTTTCACAAGGACTGCTTTGCTCCCCAGGGCTCATTAAGCATTTAAGCAGTTGGTCCAGAGGATGCACAGCAGCCCTGGCACCCTGGCAGAGCCCTCTGCACGCAGCAGCTCTGCTTCACACCTTGCTTTCTGCAAAAGAAAACCCCAGTCCTGGGGAAAAAGTGACAGGAGGATGTCCAGAGCTGGCTGGGAGCCTTGGGAGCCTTGGGAGAGGGAAGTCAGGAGAGAACGAGGAGATAGGATGGAGGTGCTGTGATGTGGTGTGCTCTAATTACAGCAAGCCCAGCCTCCCAGAGCATCAGACTGTGCCTGATGAAAGGCAGGGCTGTTTCCCTGCCCAGCCCTTCACTGGGGCTGGGGCTGAGGGTTGCAGAGCCAGCAGTGCCTCCAAACCAGGAGCTGATCACTAAGGAGCTTCCAAGCCCTCCCCAGAGCAAATGACCCTCCGAGCCTGCTGGAGCAGGCTGCTCAAAGCCCACCACAAACCTGTGCCCACCTGGAGATTCTGTCCCTCCTGGTGCTTCAGGGCTTCCAGGCTCCAGGGCAAAGGCAAATCTGTGCTCACTCCAAAGGAGGGGCCAAGGATGAGTGGGAAGCAGCAGGATGACTTTGTGGTCCTGCATGAATAGCAAAGTGCTTTCCTTTGCCTGCTGTCCTTCCCCTCCCTCACCCCTCAGCACAAATAGCACAGAGCAGGTCTTTATCCTGAAACTGAGCTTAAGCACCTGAACCTTTTTTCTCTGGAAAAAAGCCCAAACCTGCTTTCAGGGGGTTGAATGACTCACTCCCACCTTGTAATGGTGTTGTCTGCAAATACACCTCAGGGTTTCATTTATCAGACAGGATTCAGTCTGTAGATGTGGCAATGCAGAGAGGGGCTGGGGCAGTGTGGATTGGCACAGCCCTTCCCCAGGCTGCAGATTTGAGGCAGGGAAGTGTCTGGCCTCAAAGGAGCAGGCTGATGTGAACTCAGAGACAGTGGAGGGAAAGGAAATAGATCCCCCACTTTTCTGGCCATCTGAGCAAGCAGTCTCTGCTGCCTGCATGTCTCCTGTCAGCAGAGCCTGCACGGTGACAGGGACAGCTTTGGGGATGCCCCTGGGGGCTGGACCAGCCTGGATCAGAGTGTGTTCTCTGCCCCCTGCCCCTGCCAGCCCTGCAGCCCCAGGACAAGCTGGTGGTGGATGCCTGGAGCCCAACGCTGACAGCTGCCTGATGGCTGCAGTCCTGACTGTTTACACAAAAACCACCTCATGCCTTCATTCCAGGGACATGGGGGACAAGCCTATCCCAGTCACTCCCAAAAATGCCCTGCTCAGGATGAGGCACCGTCCTGGCATCCCCTGGGCACTCTCTGTCTGTGCAGCTCCTGCTCCATTCCCGGGCCAGCCAGCAGCGAATCAGCACTGCCTGCGCCCTCCTGGTGGGATGCTCGCTGCCTTCATCTGCTGAGAGCTTGTTCTCAGCGCTGCTCTCAGCACTCCTCACCGTGCTGGCTGCCTGCAGAGCTGCAAGGAGGGCAGCAGGGCTGTGGCTGCAGCATCCCCACGGTGCTGCCCACCTGGGAACCTCCTTGGCCTCTCCCAGAGTCCCGTTAGCCCAGCCCTGCTGACCACAGCATGTGCACCCATGCCCTGGAGCTGCTCACCTTGAGCTCCCACTCTCGTGGCCACCTGGCACGCTGGCCCCACAGCAGCTCTGACCATCCTCAGGCCCCTCAGGGACACCGTGCCTGTGACTCAGTTTCCCCAGAGAGCGAGCACTGGCTGCCCTCCTGCCAGTGTCAGGTCAGTTTAGCTGGACAGCGTCAGGAGAGGAGCTGTCACACCGTGTGTGTTTGCTCTGCTCCCTGGGGCTCCCCGCTGTCCCTGCCCCTCCTGGCACCGTGGCACCGCAAACATTAATGGCAACAGTAATCAGAGGAGACTTCTCCAGCTCCTGCTGCTGGGGGAGCTGATCAGAGGGGATGGGGACCCTGCACAGCACCTCGGGCCAGGTGTCCTCTGGCCACCAGCCCCCTGTGCCCTGTGGTGGGACAGCACGCTGGGCTGGCTTCACACAGCCCTCAGCCACACTGCCCTCCCAGCAAAGCCTTGGGAGCTCTCCAGGCCCTGTGCAGCCCCTTGCTTGCCCTGGGAGAGCAGGCACAGGGGGCACCGTGCCCTCCTTCCCCGCTGAGCTCCTCCTCTGTGGGCCCCTGCAGCAATGGCTTTGTACAGCAGCTCCCAGCCATTACCAGACTGCAATTAATACAAACAAATGAGATCAGCCAGCCACAGCAGAGTGAACAGAAACCTGACTGACATATCTGCCAGGAATCATTTATTCTGCGCTTTTATCTTTTTTAAATACTATTTACTTCCTTGCAAATTAATCACGGATTGCCTTGGAGCAGAGGTGACTCTGCGGCTCGGCCGGGTGGCCTCAGGGGACCGGGCAAAGGCAGCCGAGCACCGAGTCCCGGCCCGGGCTGTGGTTATCAGGCAGCTCCGCTCCCTCTGCCTTGGCTGCCCTGTCCCCGGCAGCCGCTGCAGCTCCTGAATCACACAGACATGAGTGTCGGTGTTGTGCTCTCCGAGGAGCTCACCAGGACAGTCCTGTCCATTTGCTGAGCCCTGGGAAAGGCTCCCAGCAGGAGGGACCTGAGCTGCGGCCCCAAGGCCGGGCACAAGGGTTTGGGAGCCCGGTTTTCCCCAGGTGCTCCCCCCATCCGACGGGCAGCTCCTCTGGGACATCCCTCATCCCCCACACATCCCTCATCCCCGCACATCCCTCATCCCCGCACATCCCTCATCCCCGCACATCCCTCGGTCCCCGCACATCCCTCATCCCCGCACATCCCTGGCACATTCCTCATTCCCGCACATCCCTCAGCTCCGCACATCCCTCAACCCCGCACATCCCTCATTCCCGCACATCCCTGAGCCCCGCATATCCTTCATCCCCGCACATCCCTCATCCCCGCACATCCCTCATCCCCGCACATCCCTCATTCCCGCACATCCCTCAGCCCCGCGCGTCCGCTGATCCCGGTACGGTTCTCTCCCTCCGAGGGTCCCTCGCACATCCATCGGCTCTGCCCCATCCCTCGCCCCCTCCAGCCCCGAGCCCGGTGCGCCCCGAGACCCCCCTAGCCCCCGCCGGGGCCGCTCCCTCCCCGCACCGGGATCCCCCCCGAGGGCCGCGGGCTCCGGGCCGGGGGCAGAGGCCCCGAGGGGCCGGGGAGGAGGCGGGCACCGGGCCGGAGCCCCCCCCCCCCCGCCGCTCCCGCCTCCTCCCCGCCGCGGCGGGCGAAGCTCCGCCCGGCTCCCGGGGCCCGCAGCCGGCCGGCGCCCACCCCGCGGCGGGCGCCCGGACTATGAGGAGCGGGAGCGGGCGGGGGGCGGCGGCAGCGGCCCCGGTGCGGCCCCGGTGCGGCGGGAGCGGGGGCGGCGGGGACGCCGCCGCCGCCGGCCGGGTCATGCCCGTGCGCCCGGGGCGGCGGGGCTGCGGGCTGCGGCGGGATGGGCGCGCTCCGGGCCGGTGCCCTCGCCTTCCTCCTCCTCCTCCTCCTCGGCTGCCTCCTGCCCCGGCGCGGCCCGCTCAGGTGAGCGCACGGCGCGGGTGCTCGGTGCTGCGCGGGGTTGCGGGACCCCGGCACCCCGACCCCGTCCATCCCCCGGGAGCCGCGATTCCCCCCGGCACACGGGCATCACCCCCTCTGGGAGACAGAGCTCCTGCGGGACCTGGGCATCCCTTCAGACCCGGACCATCCCCGGACCCTTATCCCGACCCCCGATCCGGAGCTGGCTCCGCGGCCTGATGCCCCGGACAGAACGCCCCCAGCTCCTGTCGGGACCTCCCGCAAACCTGGCTTGGCTCCCCATTCCCGGGACCCTGACCCAGCACCCCGGGACCCGGCAGCCTTCCCCCACAGTCCCCACCACACACAGCCAGACCCTGCCTGTCCCCAGCCGCCCCCGAGGGCTCCCCGGGCCAGCGGGAGGGTCACCCACGGGAGAAAGGGACAGCTGAGCCCGTGACAGCCCAGGCAGCTCCGTCCCTGCTGCTGCAAAGCCCCCGAGATATCCAGATCCTCTCCTGGCTTATGGTGTGTGGGGAAAGGAAAGCTCAGGGCAGATCCTGACCCAGACCCTGGCTCACTCGGGACAGTGGGTGGGTGCCCCAGGTCCCCTGGGTGCAGGAACAACTCTTGGCCCACTTGGATGGAAAATCTAAAGCCCCCAGGTCCCTCTTTCCATCTCTGGGTGTTATCTGGGTGTTATCTGGGTGTTATCTGTTATCTGGTCCACCTTGGGTGTTATCTGGGATGAGGCGGGATGCAGGGCAGAGGGGAAGGGAAGGGTTGGAGTCTGCAGGATTCCTGGGCTCAGCCTGATCCCAGTCCCTCTCCCAGCACTCAGCCAGTGTGGCTGGAGGGGCACGGGGGGATTTGTAACGTTTATGGCAGGGAGGGGTAACCCAGAATTGCTTCACGTGCAGAAACTGCCTGTCTCAGGGCAGCGTTTTTAGGCAGACATCAGCGTTTCCAGCCCTGCCATCCACGGGCTCCACAGAGGTGCTGAGTGAGCTGCAGGGCCCCGCGGTGCCCGGCCCGGGTCGGGGCAGAGCCCCCAGGGCAGGCAGCGCTCCAGGCAGGGGCTGTGCCCCAGGGCTGCGCTCCCCTGCCGGGGATGCCTTGGGAAGCAGCTGCACTTTGGGCATTTTGGCATCCCCCACGCTGCTCTGAGCATCCCCGGGGCTGCAGAGCCGCCGTGGCTCTGTTATCTGAGCCTCCTCAAGGAGCTACCTGCCAAGGGAGCCCGGGAGCCTCCCTGCCACGTGCTGCAGGGGAGAGCCCTCACTGTCCTCTCCTGCGAGAGGACAAGGCTCACAGCTCTGTGCCAGGCAGAAGCCTCACTTAACTCCTTGTTAGCCTGGTCCCTGGCAATCCTCCTCCTAAAGGCACCGTTGCTCGTGCAATTTTGTACCACACAAAATTGCTTGTGCAGCTCCTGGCAGGGAATTCCTCCCAGCCTTTTGCTCTTGATCAGGACGAATCTCAGCTACTCTCTGCTGCCCTTCTCCAATTAAAGGAAAACCTGCCCCACTGGAACATTTTGGTTGTGGCCATTTCTAGCTGGTAAGGTGCACATACCCCCTCTAGGATGAATCTCACCCCTTTGAAAAGAGGCAGGAAGAAGGAACACAGGGTTCCCAGCATCATCCTCTTCTTGCAGTGCTGGGGCTGTAGCTCCAAGCAGGAGTGAGATCCACCTGGGCACAGACCTGGTGGAGTTATAGGCATCATGCAGCAGCACCAGCAGCATGCTCAAAGCTCCTTTTGTGTCCAGAGATGTCTGGCTAATTCCTCTCCATCACAGCCACATGCCTGGCAATGTGGTGAGTGAACATCTCTCACATTGTTCCTTGAAATTATCATTATAGACTGACGGGAGGAGAGAAGCTGGCAGGCTAAGATGCATTCACAAAAATATCCCCTCCAGAGTCAGTTTAAATAAATCTCCATCGTCACTCAGAGCGCTGTGTGGGAGAGCTCATCCCCATGGCTGGTGTGGAGGTGGGCTCTGCTGCTCCTCTCCTGCCACATCTCCCTGGCCCCTGGCAGCTGTCAGAACCCAGCTGGACACTCCTCACTCAGGCAGGGACACTGTGTCCCCCAGCCCCCCATGACAGGCACTGGGTGATTGTTTGCTCAGCAACCCAAGCTGAGCTGTAGGTGGAACCTGAGAAGGAGCTGCCTGCTTTCCCTCCAGCACTGGCTGTGCCCTGTCCCCAGGAGCCAGGAGCACCAGCCCCCAGCCCCATGCCAAGGGACGTGGTGGAGCAGGGACAGGCAAAATGCGGGCATGTGACACTCAGGCTGCTGCAGGTAGTGGAAAAAAGCCACCAGAAGCCCAGCAGAAGGAAGGGATCCCCCACCATGCTGACCAGGCACTGGAGTGGATGCAGCACAGGCAACTGAGTGTCCCCAGGGGAGCCCAGAATGTGCCTGCGGACCCCTGGCAGCCGCTGACATGCCCTCCTGCCCCACAGGCTGGTCTCAGGGAGGGAGGAGATTAAAGCTGGCTCCCGAGGCTCAGCCCAGCCCATGTCACCCTCTGATTTCCTGGACAAGCTCATGGGACGAACCTCAGGGTACGACGCCCGCATTCGACCCAACTTCAAAGGTAAGAGGGGGGATGTGAGGGCTCCAAACGTGGCAGGTCCTGGCAGCTTATGGCTGCCCAAACCCAGGGCCTTTGGGGAAGGATCCTGCTCCACGTCCCTGTCCCAACACCCTGCCCAGAGTCCCTGCTGTCCTGCCAGCCCTGTGTGCTCACTTTGCTGGCAGCATGGGCGTGCTGGGGTCATCCCAGCCCCGGGGGTGGCCCCACAGGAGGGGACGCCTGTGTGCCTTCAGGAGCAGTGTCCCCGGTGTCCCCAGGGGTGGCCCTAGAAGGAGGGGACGCCTGTGTGCCTTCAGGCACGCAGCAGGAGCGGTGTCCCCGCGTGTGCCCGCACGTGTCTCAGCAGCCAGCAGCAAGAGGAGGCTCACGCTGTTTTCCAGGTCCGCCTGTCAACGTGACGTGCAACATCTTCATCAACAGCTTTGGCTCCGTCACTGAAACCACCATGGTGAGAGTTTGGGCAGCCTCTCCCAGAGCCTCAGGGCTGGCAGGGGCTGTGCTGGGGAGGGTCCCAGTGCCCATGGCTGTGCTTACAGGGCTCCTGTGACCCCTTCTGGCACCACACTGGGGACATGCAAAGCCATAGCACGTGGCTGTGGCTTTTCTGGGGTCAGCTAACACAAGCTTGGCTATGTGGGTCACATTCCCTGTTCCTGAGCTGGAAGAAAGAGCACCCCAAAGGGTCACAGTGGGGCAGATGGATGTAATCTCCTGCCATCCTGAACCTCCTTGGGTGCATGAGAAACACATCAGAGGAAGTCCCAGGGCAAAAATATTTCCTATTTGTGCTTCTGCAAAAGCCTTAATACTATCAACAGTCCCACAGAGCCATGTGCGGAATGCTGCAGGCAGCAGTTACTGGTCTTCCACCTCCTCCTCCTTCTCTCAGCTGCTGTGGCCTTGGCTTTTTAATTTCCCCTGGCTGCCAGCAGCATGGGAAGGCTCCTGAGCTGCCCCTGCTCCCTGCTTTATTAGTGGCAGGAACACAGCAACAGCAGGGCTGAGCCTCAATGGAAACAGCCCCTTCCACCCCCTCCTCCATCCCTTCCTCCTCCCTGGGCCCCGGGGGTGCTCTCACTGACTGCTGCCCCCTGTGCCAGGACTACCGGGTGAACGTGTTCCTGCGGCAGCAGTGGAACGATCCCCGCCTGGCCTACCGGGAGTACCCCGACGACTCCCTTGACCTCGACCCCTCCATGCTTGACTCCATCTGGAAGCCAGACTTGTTCTTTGCCAACGAGAAAGGGGCCAATTTCCACGAGGTCACCACTGACAACAAGCTCCTGCGCATCTTCAAGAATGGCAACGTGCTCTACAGCATTAGGTAGAACCTTCCCCTCTGGTGCAGTGCCTGAGTGGGGAGGCAAAGCTTTCCCCTGGCCTTCCATGTGGTGACTTTTCCCCAATGACTGCCCCAGCTCCAACAACTGCCTCCTTTCCTCTGCCTCCTCAGGCTGACCCTGATCCTGTCCTGCCCCATGGACCTCAAGAACTTCCCCATGGACATCCAGACATGCACCATGCAGCTGGAGAGTTGTGAGTACCTCGGGGGGGTTCAAGCTGTGCTTAATTTCCCTCTTCCTATTCCATTCCCTCCCATTCCATGCCATCCCAAAAGCTGGCAGCTCACTTTTTCTGAGGGACATGAGCAGGAAAAAGCAGTTGCTCAGTGTGGGGTTGAACGGGGTGCATGTCCCCATCCCATGGCTCCCTACATCCCCTCCAGTTGGCTACACTATGAACGACCTCATCTTCGAGTGGCTGGAGGAGCAGGAGGCCGTGCAGGTGGCAGAGGGCTTGACACTCCCACAGTTCATCCTCAGGGACGAGAAGGACCTGGGCTATTGCACCAAGTACTACAACACAGGTGAGCACCCCAGGGACCTGCTGCCACCCCTCCCATGGCCCAGGGGTCCCTCTCGCCCACTGGCGCCATCTTTCTCTGCAGGCAAGTTCACCTGCATCGAGGTGAAGTTCCACCTGGAGAGGCAGATGGGTTACTACCTGATCCAGATGTACATCCCCAGCCTACTCATCGTCATCCTCTCCTGGGTGTCCTTCTGGATCAACATGGATGCGGCACCGGCCCGGGTGGGCTTGGGCATCACCACGGTGCTCACCATGACCACGCAGAGCGCCGGCTCCCGCGCCTCCCTGCCCAAGGTCAGTGCTGCTGCCTGCTGGGCAGCGCCCCAGGGCCAGGGACAGCCTTTCCCTGGCAATGCCTTGGCTTTGGAGCCTCATCAGCTGGGGGATAACACATGCTGACACAAACACTGGCTGCTCTGGCCTGTGTGCCCAGGCTGAGAGGGCTCCCAGCCTTGTGGCAGTGGGGGGAACGAGCAAGGTGGGGGGCAGTGGGTCCCTGAGCCCCCTGTCACCCCGGCAGGTGTCCTATGTGAAGGCCATTGACATCTGGATGGCCGTGTGCCTGCTCTTCGTCTTCGCCGCCTTGCTGGAGTACGCGGCCGTCAACTTCGTGTCGCGCCAGCACAAGGAGTTCATGCGCCTGCGCCGCCGCCAGCGACGGCAGAGGATGGTGAGTGTCCCCCTCTCTGACATCTGCTCCTCCTCAGCCCCTGAGGGGACAGCCCAGGGCTGCAGGGACAGTTTCTCAGCAGCCCCCAGGGCAGGGCTGTGTTCCATAGCCACAGATGGCTCCTTTGGCACACCAGGGACCCACGGGCACTGGAGCACAGGGCTCAGCACCCATGGCCCTGCTTAGGGTGCTGTCCTTCTCCTGCTGGGACATCCTCGGACTCTGCTTCCTCTAAAAATTCAGAAAAATAAGCAGTGAGGATGGGGGAAACCAGCCTTTCCCCTTATGTGCAGCCCCAAACGCGGGTTCTTTGGCAGTGACAGGGACTCACTGCTGTGTCAGGGAGAAAAATGCAGAAAAATAAGCAGTGAGGATGGGGGAAACCAGGCTTTCCCCTTACATGCAACCCCAAACCTGGGCTCCTTAGCGGTGACAGGGACTCATGCTGTGTCAGGGAGGGAGCTGGTGGCACCCAGGGACAGGTGTGGGCTGCAGATGGGAGCGCAGCAGGATCTGGAGAGGCAGGATCCCTCACTCATGGAAATGGTCCTCGCCTCTGTCAGCCCACCAACACAGGCATCAGGCCTGCAAGAAGCTTGGGGTCGGCATGTGGCTGCCCCACTCTCATTTTAAGCAGCCTGTGAGGCACCATGGAAGACACGAGTACACACACACAAACCTTCACACACACAGCATCCCATGCCACCAAATCCCTTCAGCACGTGCTGAAGACAGATCTCAGTGCCAGGGCACACTGGTGGGGCTCATTCCCCCCAACACAGAGCCCCCATCTCCCCCCACCACCCCCACCCCGGCACCCAGAGCCGCTGCCCCGGGTCACCCGCTGTCCTGTTTCTGTTTGGTGCACACTGCTGGATGCCACAAGGGCCTGAGCAGCGGCACGGCCAGCCTGGAGTCCCTGCGGCAGCCGAGCAGCCGGCGCAGCAGCGAGCACACCTACGCGACGCTCTGCAGCTCCCGGGTAAAGCACGACCCTGCGGCAGCCCCCGTGCTTCCCCAGCCAGCCTCACCCTCCCCTCCCCACAGGAGCCCCCAGGAGCAGCCCTGGGGGCAGCAAGGGGCTCTGGAAGAAGCAGGATAGTGATTAGCACAGAGTATGTGCCCATAGGATGTGGCTGATGGGTGAGGGTTTGGGCAGCCAGTCCCAGTGTCTCAGGGCTGGCAGGGGCTGTGCTGGGAGCGTGGGGGTCCCCAGTGCCCATGGCTCTGCTTACAGGGCTCCTGTGACCCCTTCTGGCACCACACCGGTGGTGTGCCTCTTCCCACAGGCCAAGCCATAGCACATGGCTGTGGCTTTCCTGGGGTCAGCTAACACAAGCTTGGCTATGTGGGTCACATTCCCTGGGCTCAAACGTGTTGAGAGAGGGATGGGAACGGAGCAGATTTCCCTGTGGAACCCCAACTCCATGCCTTGGGTTCCCCTTTGGTAAAGCAGCACCAGCACAGTCCCCTTTGCTGAGGGTGAGTGATGCTGAGGGTGAGTGATGCTGAGGCTGACTGAGCCCAGCTCCCCAGCCATGCCCACAGCTCTGGCAGGGTGAAGGCTCTGCCTCCCTGCAGGCAGGTTCCAGGCACTCCCTGCTCTGTTGGTTCCTCACAGCCCTGTCGCCCACCAAGGGCCTTCTGAGGCAGGGAGGAGAGAAAGCAAGCTGCAGCCACACTGGTTTGGGACTGGGGTTGTTCTTTAGGTGGGACAAACGAAGCTTCCCCAGGGTCTTGCTGCTGTCCCCACCCCAAACTGAGAGAGGACAGCTGCCTGCAGTCCCTCCTGCACAGGCAGCTGCTCAGGGCTCATGAGCACTTTGAGGCACAGGGAGAAGTGTGGGGCAGGGCAAGCTCCCAGGGTGTTGGGGAGATGCAGGGGATCAACCACAGCTCCAGGGAGGAGATCAGACCTGGTCACCCTCACCTCCTCTGCACCATCATCAGCCCTTGGATGCCAGGAGAGGCATCTTTGCCTTTCACAGATGACTCCTGGAGAGCAGCACCCAGCCAGGGCAGGGAGGAGGAGGCTCTGTCCAACCCAAGGAACGTGTGCTGGCTTAGAACAGACCAAAGTGAGGCTGCAGAGCTCCCTGGGGTGCAGCTGGCACAGCCCTGGATGCAGCCAGGAGCACCCCGGGGTGCTGCTCAGTCAGAGATGGGAGCAGAGCCCTGCTACACACAGCTCCTGTGCCTGAGAAAGCACAGCCCGGGTCTCACAGCCTGAGGGCAAATACCTCCCGCAGACCACCCAAATCCAGGCTCAGGAACCCTGGGCTGGGGGAGCTGCTGGTCCCCAGAGCACACAGAGCACCCAGGTCCCCCCATCCAGAGGGGCTGCAGGCACTCAGCCTGAGGCAGGGAAATAAAACTGTACTGCAAATGAGAACTGACCTCAGCAATCTGAGCCACTGCTGCTCTTCCCACTGTAAAATCTTGCTTAGCCTGTGGATTGCTGAGTTAAATAAAGATGCCAGGGTACAAACTCTCTGCATGAGAGCCCCCGTGCCGGCCAAGTGCCTGCAGGGGCTGATCTCAGCAGGCAGCCCCTGTGTCCTGGAGGGCAGTGCTGGCCAGAGATGGTGTTTGGGATCCCAAACAGCACCCAGACACAAAGTGAGGCACTGACTGAAGCAGGCTTTGGAAGAAAGAACCCACCAAAGCCAGATACAGCACCAGCAAAGGCAGAGGGGAGCCACAGAGACCAAATGAGTCCAGGGGCTCAGCAAAAAGCCAGATGTGCAGCCTGTACTTGCACATGCCCATCCCTCATCACATCTCTGCACACATAACCCTCTCCAAGGCTAAAACAAGGCAAGTGGCTCGCAGTGCACAGCTGTCGATGGGGAGGAGGGCAGGCACTGCTGGCCAGCCCCTGAGGCACCCAATCGGTGCCCTGAACAATGGCAGTGGGCTGCAGCCAGGGACTCTCACGGCAATTCTGCAGCCTTGATCATGAACACACAACTCCATGGGCACGTTGCCCCCTCTGCCAGCCAGGGGAGAGAGAAGCTGAGCAAGGGCAGAGAGACCAGCAGAGTCCAGCTCTCTCAGCCTCCCTCCTCTGCTGCCCCAGGCAATCTCTGCCAAGCAGCCATGGGGAGAAATGAGGGCCTGGGTTCTTGGAGGGACTGGGGTGCCCTGCAAGCCCTGGTGGTAGCCAGGTTCCTGCATCCCTGCCCTGCTCTGCCCCAGCAAGCTGCCTGTCCTCTCCTATTCACCATCACAGCCACATTTCCACTGCACAGCAAACACAGCACACTCTCAGCAGTGCCTGCACACCTCAGCTCCCTGCACCCAATGCACCCTGCACCCCTATGTGCCCCCTTCCAGCAGTTCAGCTCCCATCCCTCTGGCTGCCAGAGCTGGGAGGAAGCTGGGGGGATGTGAGGGTCGGGTTGCCTTTGGATACAACTAAACACGTGCTGGATGAGAAGGCAGGAGCTCAGTGCTCACCCCTGCCCTGTGCACAGACAGCGCTGGGAGCTCCTGCCTCTGCCTGCATGGCTGAGCTGTGTGACAGAGCTGCCAGTCTGGCACAGCACCCAGCACCCAGCACCCAGCACCCAGCACCCAGCACCGGGGGTGTGCAGGACGTGCAGCCTCCCCCCGCAGCACCGGCACCACCGTGCCCTGCCTGACCGCCTTTCCTTCGGCAGGAGGAAGAGCTGAGCCGTGAGAGCCGCTTCTACCTGCGGGGCTACGGGCTGGGCCCCTGCCTGCAGCCCAAGGAGGGGGCTGGGGAGGGCCCCGGAGCGTTCAGCCCCCCGGCCGTGCTGCGGGAAGGGGAGAGCCTCCACAGGCGCTACCTGGACCGTGCCAAGCGCATCGACACCGTCTCCAGAGCCGTCTTCCCCTTCACCTTCCTGCTCTTCAACATCTTCTACTGGGTGGTTTACAAAGTGCTGCGCTCAGAGGACATCCACATGGTGCCCTGAGGCTGGAAAAGTAGGACTGACTGCCTCTCGGTGTCACCCCACAGTGTGCTCAGGTGCCACAGGCTCAGCCAGAACTGCATTTCCCTCTGTCCCGGAGCGGTGGCACAGCTGGGCTGGGCCTCAGAGCCTGGATGTGTGGCAGCCCCTGTGCCCCTGTGGATTTTGTGGCACAAAGTGGGGGGATCAACAATCACAGGTCCCCACGGTCAGCTGGAGAGAGGAACCCCTCCTGCTTCCTGCATGGTGTCACCCCAGGTACCCCAGGATGCTGTGCTGTCAGGGCAGGGAAACACCCTAGGAATGCTGTGCTGTCAGGGAACATGGAAACAACTACACCCCAAGAATGCTGTGCTGTCAGGGAACAGGGGAACAACCATACCCTAGGAATGCTGTGCTGTCAGGGAACAGGGGAACAACCATACCCTAGGAATGCTGTGCTGCTGGGGGAACCCTGAGTAGCCAGGGGCACAGGAGAGCCCTGGGTACTTTGGCAGAGCCAGTGGCCAGAAAACATCACCTTCCAGAAAAATATTCTCTCCCTTTTCCACACCTACCCTGTTAGGCTGCTGCTTCTCCAGCCTGCATCACTGAGCTGTGGGGCAGGGATCAGGCTGCAATTCTCTGCTCTGGCCTGGAGCTTGCTTGCAGGAAAGAGCAGGCAGCAGCCCTGCCTGCACCTGGACTGTGCAGGATGCTGGCTGTGCCCCCCTAGCCCCTGCCCAGCAATGCAGCCCCAGCCAGCTCCAGCACAGAGCAAAGCAGCAGGCTGGGGATGCTGCCCTCACTGCAGAGCTCAGAACTGCCCGTGGTGCCCAGGGCTGCAGGATTGTGGCAGGGACAGTGGGCAGGAGGCTCTGTTTGCTCCAAGGACAGGCCAGCCCTGAGGCAGGCAGCAGGCAAGCTCAGTCCTGCTGAAGGGGCCCAGATGGCCACTGCAGTTGCAGATGGGAGTCACTTGGCCCTGGGGAGATGGCACTGCATTATCAGCAGAGTAGGGCCCACAACCTGTCTGCCAAGGGAGATTTTGGGATGAAAGCAGTGGGGAAAGCTTGGCCAATCCTTTTGGACGAGCAGAGTGAGTGGTGGCATCCCCAGACTGCTGCATTCCCACAGCACCACAGTGCCAGAAGAGAGATGGAGGTGAAAATTGCCCCATTCCTCAGCCCAGCATCCGGGTGCAGCATCCCCTGGCAGGTTCATCCCTAATGTTCCTCCACTGGAGAGGAGAGCAACTGGAACCCCAACAGGACAAGCTCAGCAAGGCTCCCAGCCCTCCAAACCTGGATACCCTCCATGCTTTGCAGGAAATAAAAGCAGCAGGTGATGCTTAAGTCCTCCAGAGAGGAGTGTGGTGATGCTCTCCTTTCCCTCTGCCCTCAGGAGGTTGCAGCCCAGCAGGTCCCATTGCCATGGGTGCAGGAGAGGGCCCAGAGTCTTCCAGGCTGGGCAGGATGGAAATAGAATTCACCCCTTTTCTTGAGGGCTGTGGTGGCCCCATGGCACAGTGAGTGCTCCAGTGACCCACCTGCCATGGTGGAATGGACCCTGCAAGGCAGGGGGACATGGCCAGGAGGCAGCACTGCCTTCTGACACCAGACCCAGGCAGAAACCCGTGCTGTGATCCCTGGCCTGGCTCCTCAGGCACCACTCATCCCCCTCTTCTTTGCAGGACTGACCAGCAGCACCATCCCCTGAGCCCCACAGAGTGCTCAGCCACATGCACCCATTCCACACATGGGGCAAGCAGAGAAGTGGCCCCAGGCCACCCCATGAGGGGACAGAGGGACCCACAACAACAGGCTGAGCCAGCTCCATCCCATTGCCAGCCCTGTGCATGCCCCCCCTGCCATGGGGCTCCCCATGGGTTCCCACCATGTGTTCAGGCCAGACTTGCTTTGGGGAGCCCCATTTGGAGGCACCCTGGGCTCCCCAGCACCCGAGGCAGTGCCAATCAGGCAGGTACCAGTGTCTGAGCAGCACCCACAGGCACTGGGTGGCCATGCCAGCCTCCTGCAGTGGTGGGTTTTTAAACAGCATCGATCTTCCTACACAAATAAAGCTTTCTGGGATTTTCGTGCTGTGTGCTGGGGATTTGTCTCTGCCAAGAACACTGCAGCCAGCTCCCACTCACAGCGTGGGGAGGGGACAAGGGCACAATGCCCTGTGGGGACAGGAGCCCTGACCCACCATTATACTCATACAGATATCATTACTCTCCAGGGGTGATTTTTCTGACACAACTGATCACTGTCACATTTTACTCCCACATGGGAGATGCCAGGAGGGTTGGGCAGGAGCCCCCTGCAAGCCCTCAGCCCCAAACCTCCTCACTTTCTGTCCCCCCCCAGCTCTGTGGGTGCTCCCCACAGTCACCCCAGCCCTTTTCTCCCACCCAGGCTTGGCCAGGGGACAGGACCCGAGATGAGGCGGAGCTGGGGGGGTCCCAGCTCTGCGGTGGAGCTCAGACACCCGAGCATGTGCTGCATCCCCAAGCAAACCTCCCTGTGTGGCCCCTCAGCCCCTTCACTCGGCTTGCTGGGCAGGAGCCAAGCTTACAGAGCTGCCAGCTGTCCTGGGGGGCTTACGCCAGCCCTGCAGTGCCACCCGGGGCCGGGGCTTTTGTCCCCAGCTGGTGCAGGGGTGGGCAGAGCCCGCAGCTGAGGGCTGAGCGCCCGAGCAAACATCAATCTCCCTCTGTGCTCCCGGCCAAGTCTCACAGAGCAGCTCTGTTGGTACCTCGCAGCCCCATCGCCCTTCTGGGGCAGGGAGGAGAGAAAGCAAGCTGCACCACGCTGCTTTGGGGCTGGGGTTGTTCTTTAGGTGGGAAAAATGAAGCTTCCCCGGGGTCCTGCTGCTGTTCCCACCCCAAACTGAGAGAGGACACAGCCAAGGGGAGAGCTGGGAGGTATTCCACACCAGTACGGTGTCCCCAGTTCCTTCACTCCCTGCTCTGGAGTCAGGACATCGCATCTGAGCACTCAGACAAACACTGCAGTCAGCCCTGAGCCATTCAGCTCCAGGAATTACCAAAAAAAAAAGAAAAATGTAAAAACCCAACACATCCCTCCCAAGCCAAAGCCCCCAGGTCCCAGGCACTGCTCACAGCAAAGTGGGGAGCTCATTTCTGGCATCACACTTGGAAAGGCATAAGGGCAGCACTACCCCGTGGCTCTGCAGGTATCTGTGGTTCAGTGTCCCTGGGGGCAATTTCAGAGTCGGGAGCAGCACTCAGGCCCTGCCCTTGGTGCTCCCAGCTCCTCAGTTTGAACTGGGAGTCACTGGGACACCCTCACAGCTGCAAGGCTGTCACTGCCCTCCAGCACAAAGCTCCAGTGGGTCCCTCACATCTTGGGATGGGGGTTCTGAGTCCCATGTCCTCTCACAGCATGGCCAGGGACCAGCCCAGGTGGCTCAGCCCCTCAGCAACGCTCACAGTCTTTGGACAGAATCAGTTTTTTATTTCCTGTTCAAGGCTGTGCATTGGTGGTGCATCCCAGCCACCACAGACAGCAGCTGTGGGCACAGCACCAACAGCCATGGCCAAGTTAATTACTGGTTTAAAAGGAAGTTAATGAAGTTAACACCAGGTTAATGGAACTCCCAGACAGCAAAATGAGCATCAGCAGCACTGGCAGCTTCCCAGCTCCTGCTTGCAGCAGGGCCAGGAGCACACACAGGTTGGGGACAGCTCAGCCCCGTGCCAGCCCCAAGGGACCATGTGGGGCCAAGGAAATGTGCCTTGGGCTGGGCACTACAGTGACATGCCAGCCTGGCCCCTGCCCCACCACCACAGAGGGCCTGACCCTGCTGGCACTGAGCTCTGCTGCTGTCCCTGGCAGCATCAGGGTGTCAAACCTCCCCTTCTCCCTGCTCTCCCTCACCAGGGCCTCTCCCCACATCCACAGCCTGGAGCTCCTGTGGGGCAGCTCCAAGTGCCAGAGGTTCAGCAAAGCATCCTGTGCACACAAAGCTGTGCCTGCAGGACAGCCTGTCCCAGCTGATCCCAGCCCGAAGGCCAGGGCAGTGCCACAGGAACAGGTGACAGCTCTTCTGGGGCTCTGAGCAACCACTGCACATGCCTTGAGCACAGAATTCTTTTAAAGAAAACAGCAAGTTCCAAAAGTCAGCCAGGCAATCCTAAACAGGCCAGGGCTGCCCCTTTACAAGGGGGGAAATGGACACAAGTGGGAAAATGGACACAAAGGAAAGCACCAGGAGCTGGACTGGCACTGTGCCCTGCTGGGATTGGCCATGCCACAGGCACAGGGCCCCAACAGGAGCTCCATGGCACAGGAGCCTGCTGGCACAGGTGCAGGGTGCTGGGCAGTGTGGCTGTGCCAGCACCCCAGTCCTCAGCACAGCTGTCCCCCAACAGAGCAACCCGTGCCACTCCAGCTGTGGCATCACACCACAGCCTGTCACCTCCAGCTGCTCTGAGGGGCTGCACCATGGCCCTGCCAAACTGTCACAGACATGTTTTATGGAAAATCCTTTCCTGGGGATTTTTTCTCCTGAGAAGCTGGGAGGCCTCAGGAACAAAATGTAAACAATGGTTATCTGCTGCTGTGGAATGCAACAGGTGCATCTGGGATTGGTCTCATGTGGTTGTTTCTAATTAATGGCCAATCACAGTCCAGCTATCCAGACTGTCTTAGTCAGTCACAAGACTTTGTTATCATTCCTTTTCTATTCTTAGCTAGCCTTCTGATGAAATCCTTTCTTCTATTCTTTTAGTACAGTTTTAATATAATATATATCATAAAATAATAAATCAGCCTTCTGAAACATGGAGTCAAGATTCTCATCTCTTCCCACACCCTGAGACCCCTGTGAACAGCATCACACCAAACCCCACAGCATGGCTTGGGGACCAGCCTGCCCCACTCTGGGGACACCAGCCAGCACATGCAGCCCACACAGCACCCCAGAGCTCCCCATCCCAAGGGGTGTGGGATGCCAGGTTCTCCTGGGGACAGGCAGGACACCTGGGAAGCAGCAGTGAGGGAGTGCTGGGGCACAGAGAGCAGCAGGGATCAGCCCTGCAGCATCCAAGCTCTGGCAGTAGGGGATAAGTGCCCAGCCCTGGAGAATCATTCAGCACAAGAGAAAACAAAGCCAGGAGGTTTTTCAGCCTCCAGAGTGTCTTGTTTTGCCCCACTTTGAGAGATCTCTGCGCTTCAGCTCCCCGAGGGACAGGGGGAGGACTCCAGCACTGAAACAAGGAGTGATTATCAACCCGCGGGCTCTGAGGAGCTTTTGTTCCCTGGCTGTGGCAGAGCAGGGATGGGAGGACACCTAGCGAGCTGCCTCGGTGGCACCCTGAGCCCTGTTGTGCTCCCATCCTGCCCCTCCTCCTGCCCTGGTGGGACCCTCAATAGCTCCAGGGGGCTCCAGGGCTGGTCCAGGGGGAGACCTGGCTCCTCACATCCCATTTCCCACTGTGCCGTGGCAGCAGGAGCCTCCAGTCTCCCTGACAGGCCACGTACTACCAGTGCTGCTCATGGCTGTGTCACTCCTGCAAAACCAGGGATTAAATGCAGGGCTCAGCTCAGAGATGCTGGCTGGCACACAGGTGCCCTTTGCAGCTCTCCAGGTCCTGCTGACACCAGCACTGCCCCTTTCCAGAGATTCTCATCTCAGTCACATGTAACTGGTGCAAATGGGGTGATGCCCATGATTTATTCTTGTGGCTGAACTCATTGAAGAGAGACCAAAATCTCTGAGTGCAAAGATCTGGATGGACCCAAGCATCCCAAGCAGAGACAGGCTGGATCCAACAGCACAGAGTCCACACACACAGCAGAGAGGCAGCAAACAGCCTGGCCATAATCCACACTCTGGATCAGGCTGGATCTCATCAAAGAGCACAGGGAGAGGCGCTCAGGAGGAGGAGCTTCTCACAGTTTTTAAAGTAGACCTGAAAGCCCAGGGCCAAAACCAAGTCCTGAGCCCATGAGGTACAACCTCTCTTCCCCAGCATTCTGTGCTGACAGAACACACACAGACCCACAACCTGCACTCACAGCAGCCCCCAGCCCCTCAGGCAGCCCCCGCACTGCTGAGCACACAGAATCACTGAGGTTGGAAAAGATCTCTGAGATTGAGTCTAACCTATGCAAACCAGAGCATGGCACTGATTGTCGTGTCCAGTCCTTAAACACCTCCAGGGACCCTGACTCCACTTTGCTGGGAAGCCTGTTCACCCTTTCTGTGAAGAAATTACTCCAGATGTGCACCCTGAACCTCCCCTGGCACAGCCTGAGATCCCATCCCTGTGATCCATCCCTGTGACCCTGTCCCTCTGACCCTGTCCCTGAGATCCTGTCCCTGTGATCCATCCCTGTGACCCTGTCCCTGAGATCCGTCCCTGTACCCCGGGAGCAGAGCCTGACCCCACCCGGCTCCCCCTCCTGCCCGGTGTTGTGCAGAGCCATAAGGACTCCCCTGAGCCTCCTTTCCTCCAGGCTGAGCCCCCACACCTCCCTCAGCCTCTCCTCACGGGATTTGTGCTCCAGACCCTTCCCCAGCTTTATTCCTTCAGCAGCTCCACGTCCCTCCTGAGCTGAGGGGCCAGAGCTGGGCACGGGTGTGGCCTCAGCAGCGCCCAGCACAG